AAAAAATTTAAATATTAAAAAAATTAGTAAAAATCTTCGCAGGCAAATTTGCCTGTGTTACAATTTAAGGGATACATTTGTTCAAATTCTTTTATTTTTTTATTAGCTGCATTTATTTTTTTAACTGAATCACGCTGACATATAGCATTTTTAGATAATTCTTCGTCATTTGGTTGCGAAGATATATTTCTTGATATGAAAAGTGAAGTATCAATATAATCTGAATTATTCGGATTGTGTTGTGTTAATTTTGAATAATGAGAATAGATATGAGAAGGGATAGCACTAAAATAGTCCTGAATCTTTTCATCGATTAAGGTTTTATTTCCTGCTTGATTTGGTTTCATGTTAGGTTACATTCTTGCATTAATTGTTGACGATTTGGATTTGGGTTGTAAAGAGTTACTTGTTTATAATATGTGTATACATTACAGAACTTATGATATAGGTTTTGTGGCTCTTTATAAATGAAAGTTTTATTAAATTTAGGCGTTGATAAGAAGCTTTGCATCGTGAATTATTATAACTGCTTTATTATCTTTAAGGGATTTGTTATAGGGTAATGAAAGAAATTATACTAAAGTGAATGCCATAAATACGTTATTATCTCCCGTCCACACTTTATAAACTGACTCTTTAAAGTTTTTTTTTTTTTTTTTTTTAATGCGATATAATATGAGAAGAAGGTCGATTTTTTAATAAAAATTATTTAATTTTGATAGAACATATATGATAGCAGAAAAGGATGGTTATAGTGGTCAGGAGAATTCATTAAGAGGCAATTTGAATTAGGCAACAAGGTATATTTGTAAAAATCAAAAGCATCTTTTAAAGATACTTTGCAACTACATTTATTTAAAATTTTACTATCTGCACAAGACAATAGAATAAGCGATTACATGGTATTTTTGCAGAATTTTTTTCAAATTAGTTTCAATTATGATTGCAATTTTGGAAGGCAATGCTTTTAGTTTCATATGCTATTTCTATAATTTGCGTTTCAAAGTTAGAGACAGTTCAGGTTTAAGAAAAATCTTGGCAGCACAACTATAGTAAAGCGGCTGATTGATAAATTAAGGTTTTACTTTATTAATCATATATAATCTTGAAATAATCATTGGTCAAAATAAGCCTATCGGGCAAAGGTCATAATTTTTTTTAGTCCTGATATGACACTGATTAATAGCTCGAGTCATGTCATTTCCAGGTTCATATCGAGCTAATAGAACTATGGTTAAATATTAGAAATCTGATAACTTTCATAATTTTACTGATTGCTCTATCAGTTCTATATGAACCTAGAAATATTATGATTCGAGTCATAATCAGTGCCATATCAGAACTAAAATGATATGATACTTGTCCGATATGCTTTATTTCGACCAGTAAATACCCGGAAACATTATTTTGAGATATACAAAAAAGCTAAGAGAGCTAACTTAGCTAAAGGTTTTCAAAAAATAAATTATTGATTTGTAGTCGGCTAAATTAACTTTTAGCTTTTTTGAGTTTGAATTTGTCTGGGTTTGGTACAAATATATCTATATGCCAATATAAGTCTAAATAGTTAGTTTGTATATTTAAAGTTTAGATTTTTTTGTATTTAAATTTTGTCTTCTTCGAATTTAAAATATAAACTATTCTACAGCAAGCGTAATATGAAATTCAAATAAATAAAAAATAATTTGACTTTCTAATAATAATATATATTATGTGTAATAAACTTATTGCTATTAGATAGCCGAATATACATAGTACATATTGGTGTGTAATTAATTAAGTACGTATATACATGTAAGTATATAGTTTACATTATGATTATATTAGTTGCCCTGGTACTGGTATTTCAAGTAAATTGCTTAAATATGTTATCTTGGCGCTGGTATTTATAATTTTCTACATAATCAAATCAGATATTAATTACCCTGATATTGGTATTTATGATTCGAACTATTTAAAAATAAAATTTCTGCATATATGTATATATGCATGTATGCATATATTTATATCATGTGAACAAAATATCAATGATATTGTTCTTATTCGAAATTATTGTATGTATTTAGATAGTTTTTTTTAACTGCTCTATGTATCTTGTTTAGTGTATTGAGGTGCATCGAATAGAGCCCAGATTTGTATGATAAGAGTATTTTTTGTGTTATAGATACAAAATAAAATTTCTTATTATATTATATAATAATGCTATTTTAGCCAATCAAAATTAAGATCAGGTAGGGAGGGGGGTAAGCTACTAATAGAAAAATATCACTTGATAAATGGCCCTCCTCTTATTCATATAAACTGTTATATAATTCATATACACGAATATACTAAATTTTTACAACTTGTAGCTCTAACTTAATAAAAACTCACCAGATTAAACCTGCTATAACAACTATTAGTCTTACTCGGGATCTAAAACTTACTTCAGATTTTGATCATCAAAACGATACCTTCCTCGATTATTGACAGGCTGTCATATATCACGTCAGGATCTCTTTTTTCTCTTTTAATTCTTCTTTCTTCTCAAGGATCATGAGACAAAGAGGGAAATTTTTTAAAAGAAAAATACAAAAACGACCAGAAAAAGAAAAAACAGAAAAAAAAAAAGAAATACTGATTGTGAAAAAGAAAAAATATGAAAAAAAATCTAAAACCCTAAAGGCACTATTATAATCTATGTGTGGCTGATAAAAATTATATAACAAATGCAATATTTGTATATTTTTACTGTAAAGCTTCACCTTAATATTAAATTTACTTTCTGACCTTTCCAACAACTCTGGATAGCTCTGTTGCCTGAGGGTTCCTAAACCGAGTCCTGTGAAATAATACTATATTCGTTTATAAACAAACACATGGTTGCATTTTGCCAATCCGTCTGGATTTGGGAAGTAAACAATGCCAATTTTTTGAAGGAGATAAGCCAAATCTCCCACTTTTTGTAAAAAATTTTGAAAGGCCAGGAAAGCGAAAGTAAGTAAGAGAGGAGTTACTTGGCCAAGTAAAAGAGTGTGGCTTGAGAATAGCAAGTTCTTTACTATTCTCCAGTTAATTCGCAACAGATTGCTTCATCAATGGAGGAAAACACAATCTCCACCAAAATTTCATATACAAGAGCACACTTCCCCAGCCAGTTATCTTGTATAAAAACACTTTTGGCTTGCATGTCAAATATATAAAAGAGTCCCTATAAAGCACAAAAGGTTGATCTTTATAAAAATCACACTATTGTCTACCCACTACAAGTACTATTTTACGCTTCAGTATTCAAACTTGACTTTTTTTTCATAGAAAATGTTGGTTCAAGTGATTGTTGAAAAAAGTTGTATACTCATCTTCATATTTATTTTTAATAATACCCTTAATTCTATTAATAAGTTGTAATAGCCAGTTAAGTGTTTCAAAATATCAAAACTTAAGTCATGGATCTAATACTATAGACAAAAAATATAACATGCTTGTTTTCTCACAATAACTTTTAAGCTTTTTTTCTGCAGCTTTGCAGTCTTGAATTAGCCAATAACCTTTTCTTTTAGCCTTCTCTAAGGTTTTAAAAAGTGTATAATATAAAAAAACAACCATTGTTAAAGTTGGATATTTCGACCCTGATATAATCGTTACTGCATCCTTAAATGGTTTAAGAACCTCAACAAAAAGCATTATTTTTTCCTATTTCTCTTCTGTTAGAATATATTAGTGCAAATTCACCTCAGTAAGAGCCATGGTATCCAGTATGACTCTTAATACTATTGCTTATTCACACATACTATATGTAGAATTCCACTAGATAACAACATCGAGAATTGGTTTTATAGATAGGGTTTATTTTATGAATTAAACAAGTGGTTTAACTTTTTACAACATAATCATGATTCTTAAATACTTTTGATTAATTTATAATTTTTTAAATTCATCACCTGCAATGTTTAGCAAACTATGTATAGTAAGGTTTAAAACATGTCCAAAGCATCTTATAAATTGTTGTTGACTATTAAACTGAAAACCAGGCTGCATCATAAAATTAAAAAATTCCTATACAAATTTAATATTAGAGGATGCATTGTTATGTGTGACTGCTATTAGCTTTGATATAATGTTTATTAATTGAAGGCAGTCTTCTATATTTTTAGCAATTTTAAAACTACCATGTGACTTATCTAAATTTATAAAGTTCAAAAGAATACACTTTAATTTTCAAATTTTATCTATATAGTGAAGTATAACTGCTATAAAAGATTTATTATTTGTGTTTATCATTTATATATCGGTAGTAATAAACAATTTTCCAGATATTTTTTGTAATTTTTCTTTAAGATTCTTATATTCTTTCTCAAAGTCAACTATTGTATACTTTTTTACTAAGTCTGTAAAAGGTGCAGTTGCTTTAGACTCTAAGTATATAAATATTTCTTTAAGACCATTTTCTTCAATAATATTAAATCAGTATTATCAATTGAACAGTTTTGGTTTTTGAACACTATTCAAAACCTGTCCAAAACCTTGTTCAAAACCAAAACCAAATTTAATTGGTTTTGGACAAATGGTGCTATCTAAAGCAAAAATAAATCATGTAATTAACCACCAATCAAATCATAGAATTTTATGATTGTCATCAAAGCAAATAAAAAGAAAAGTAAAAAATTTGAAAAATATAAAAAATAATAGCCCAAATCTACCTTGTATAAGCTAACTAAAAATGTCAGAAAGACAAGTTTGCATATATATAATTATTTAAAACCTTCTCTAAACTTATTCTAAAATGACTCTAACCAATTGACAGTTGATCATATAATTTATCTTCACTTTAAATATCCTTCAAATATATATAAATATTAAAAAAATTTTTTTTTTTTTCCTTTGATAACTGCATACTAAAATTTTATTAAATATTTACTACTTAATACAATACTAAGCTATTTAATAATCTAATTAGACTAAAACCCAGCTGTTCCTTTGAGATGCTCAAGTTTGGCTACTACACTGATGTTGGCCATCATATTTTATATATATTGCGACGCATTTAAAGATATGATTTAGCCTGGGCTCAGCTCCCATCAAATATTTACAATCTTTTAGTCCACCAACTTACCACAACCTCTAACAAATATCTTATTTCTGACTCTACCAGTTGATCCACTCCTACTATCTTTATTTACTTATTTGTTCTAGGTTGGTTCACAATACCACTACTTTGACCAGGTGCAATATTCTCCTTTCCACGAGGCCTTTTCTTTTTTTCACTTTTTTTTGGTTGTTTTTCCTTGGCACCAATATTATTTTCTTTTTTCCACGTAATAAACTTTCTATACCTATTACTCTATACCAATCTATAAAAGCATTCTTG